AGTGCAGTGCACGGGAGACCACCGAGTATTCTCGAGGGAGGCCGTAAGGGTCGTAAATTCGCGGTTATCCGCCACGTAAACGTTGATACAACATTGTTATGTAAAAACTACCTTCGTCGAGCTGCTTCTTGTCGTCTTGTAATTTATTTGACGTCTACGGTATGAGAAAGGGATATCGGCATGCGGATCCTGAGACACGGGTATACCAGATATTAAATTGAATATATTACTTTATAACACACATGAATAGCAATACGGAAAGATGAATGGCGGGAAAGAGTTCCTTTTACCACCCCCCTCCAATTGACTGAAAAATTATCAGCCAAACTTCTCATGAGTTGTAAGTCAGAAAAACATTAATGTAGAGGGGCGGAAATTTTTTTTCGGAGAAAAAATTTTTTTTTGAAAAAAATAATCTGATCTAACCTAACCTAAATCTAACACTGGATATTTTTGCCATTGATTATGGCGAGCGCGAGAACAAGAGACGCGAGATGATACTGGAAATGTACTGAGAAAATGTACTCACAAACACCGTATGTGAACTATTCACATACATCACTACGGTGAACTGATGTGATTGATTTGATGAATTTAAAATTTCATTGTCGTTGTCTAGAAGAGTAAGATGGTGGCAATTTTTCATGAACCAAGAATTTCCGCGCCACGTGACTTACCCACGTGACTATTATGCATAAGAAGTTTGCCTGGGGATTTTAAAGTCAATTGAAAGGGGTTGCTAAAAGGAACTTCACTCAAATGGCGAGCTTAAATAGATCATCGATATACAGAGTGTTTCGACAACAAAGAAAAATCCATCGAAACACCTTTTTTGATACGCTAAATGTAAAAATCAACCGATCGAAGCGTGTGACAAAAATGATGAAATCGATAAAAGAGGGCTGGTTGTCCTTCGATCGGCTGAGTACCTTGAATGAACAATCGATTTCGTGCAAAGAATATTCATATCACGCGTTACAAGCTCGAGGTTCGATAAAAATACAACCGTGTGAAACACAAGGGTCCCATTTCTCGCCAGATGTTTATTTTACTTTCGTGGAGTCCCTTAATTGTTTGAAGCAGCGCGTTCGGAAGGTAGAAAATGGGAGGAAAGTATAGAAAAAGAGAGAGGTGGAGGAAAAGGTAATGTGGTTTTACGATTGGTACGTGACACGGTCGGATTTCTCTGGAGGAAAAACGTGCACGATCGAGCTCTTGATCGCTTTCAGAATATTCTACCAGCATGAAAAAAATCCATGCGAAGGGTGTGCTGTGTTTTTTCCTTTTTCTTTCTTTTTTTAACGAGCTTCGTTCCCGCATCGGTCATGCAGTTTGCCTTGATCCTGAGTCCGTTTAGAGAAATGGTACGCGTCGATCGTGTTCCATGTTACAGATCGAGAGCGGTGCTGGCCTCGGCAATCGCGTTTCAGACCCGTATTTTCCCGCTTCCTCCTCCCTCTTCCTCCCCTCGCTTTTCACTGGGTCACGATATATCGTAAAAGCAGAAACGAGTCTCTCTAGCTGGCCGGTTAAAAAGCTAGACAGTAGTAGCAATGGAGTAACGTTAACTTTTGACCGCATTGGCCGCAAAAAGCCTCCTGTTCGTAACGAGAATGACCGAACGTTCTCCTACTCGATCTACTTTCGGGAAGAAACATCAAACGTCGGTTATAGAGGGGAAAAACTCGCGCAAACGAGCGAATCTACCCCTTTTACTTTATCGATCCCTTCGATCGTTGTAGGAACGCGTATACACAGGTTCCTAGCAACTCGACTAAGTGAGCCATAAATTCTTTCTAAGTTAAAAAAGAAAATTCTGTAGATATACGAAATTTGAACCGAGTTTCGTAGTTGAATTTTTCTTAAATTTGAAGACATTCATATATTTGTAGTTCTTCAAAATCATTATTCGTTCCACTTTTTATCAACATCATGTGCGTATGAAAAAAGAAGAAAAAACGTAGCTAGGCGTGAAATATCGATTTAAATGTTTCACAAAAGCGGATTCGCCTTGATCCGTTTGCTGGTTCTTTGATACCATCGGACAGCTCCATCTTTTTTCCTCTCTCTTTCTATTCCCAGTGGCCGAGGAACGGCAGAACGATCGAAACGAACTGCAGAAGCAACCATCCTTTCGCCACGATTTTTATTGTACGCGTTTGTTACAAGAAACATCATCTCGTATTGTCCGTGGCCGCTTATACCCGGATCCCTCATCTTTCCCCGAAGAAAAGAAATGTATCCGTCCTGTTCTTTAATCGACCTTGACCGTGCTTTGCTCGATATCCACGACAATGGATCGCGGTCGAGCCGAAACGGTCCGCTCTGAAACGCCTTCTTTTCGAGCCTCTCTCAACGAGAGGACCTCGCTCGGCAATCCTCCAACCTACCCACCGCTGATAAACCACGTACCATTTTTTCAAGATTCTTCACTGAATATTTTACAATAAAAAATCAAGATTCTTTTGCTGTTTTTCAAACTGGAACAATAAAAACTTAACGTCGCGTAGTTCTTTTCCAATTCTATTCATCCTTGGTTCAAGTATGAAAGAGAATAATGAGAAATAACAGTGTCAGAATAATTTCTATGACGTTACCGGCCAGTGAAGAAAATAAAAAAGAAAAAAAAAAATGAAAAAAAAAATCCTTGTGAATAGAAATGGATGAAGGCAACGGTTTATTACCGAGTTCCGAGCAGAAATCATTTACCAGTGGAAAGGCTGAAAATCAAGTCGCCCATTCGATTCGATGGGAACTGGCTGTTTAATGTTTCACCGCGAAAACGTCGACCGACGGGTAAAATAATTAAATGATAGAGTATCTTTAGTAGAAACGAGGCTGAAAGGCCGCGTTACTCTCGCGGCCCGCCAACGGAATACTACGTTCGCCATGAATTTCAATTTGCACGATTAATTGTAACGAAACTAACCTTCTAGGGGACCGCAATTCTCCGTGGAAAACATTTCTTAATTGAAAACTCAGCCGTACCGGAATACTGCTGTTTGATTCCTTCCCTTTTTTTTTCTCTTACGTTATTCCAAAATTGTACGAACAAAATATTTGTAACTGGTGAACATTTATATGAGATTATTCAAAATGCATACACGCTACTCGAAGGTCTCTGTGTTTGAAATATTTGAATTACTTTATTACCTTGCAAGCGTATTTATACGAGTCTTGAAATAGTTATTGGAAAAAAACTTCGCTAAGCCTTACGACATATCCCCCATCAATTCTCTCCATCGTCACTTACGAAATATCTACACAAGTCGACCTAGTTTCTAGAAGCACCCTATACACCGTTTTTCTGTTCAGAAGCCATAAATCGTACAGGATATAAAGTTCGGAAACCATCACGAATATCTTTACTTTCACTCTCGAAAAATTTAAAGGAACAACAGATTTTCTTTTCTCTAAATAAATTTCAAAATCTTCATATACAGGGTGTCCTATTTTAATCTATCCACGCTATGAAAAAATATTTGAAATAGAAATTACTCCGATTCGAGCAACACAATAATCATAATCAGCAGGGTCGGCCCTGAGATTTCGGGGGTCCGAGGTGAGCTCCGAAAAATATATGACATAAAAAAAAGTACCTCAAATAAGATTTATAAAATTAACATTAAAGCTTGTATAACTAATTTAGATTTGCATTTACATCAATTAATATTTAAGTAAACTCTTCTTGCATTCTTAGACGCTAAATCGTCTTATGGCTGCCCTGGACTTTGGAGGGCCCTAGGCGGCCGCCTAGTATGTTTAGGGCTGTCCAGGGCCGGCCCTGATAATCAGTTTAATAAATAATCTTATACCGTCAATGTTGGATTTGCATGTTTTCCACTGGGCATCGATGTTGTTAAATTTTCAATGCGCGGGTATTTTTAGAGGAATAGGCCGCGGTGTCGTTCTTTCGTCGACGTGCGCGCGCGCGGATATTCCGCGTCGCTCTACACAACGTAACCACGGCTCGTTGATTTAATAATATCGAGACGCGAAACAAAAGGTGAAGAGGAGAATCGATAGGGGAACGAAGAACCACCGAACACAAAGCATTTATCCTTTGATGCGACTGCTACCAATTAAACAGCCTCGTCTGACCGGCTACCGAGTGCACTTCGCGCGACGACAACTTTGTAAAACAGAAAAAAAAAGAAAGAAAGAAAGAAAGAAAGAGGAAAAAAACGCGACACATCCGGAAAGCTAGCTCAAAGCTTGGAGAACGTCCCGTCACGACTTTCACGACACAATTAATTCACAGGGGACGAGAAGGAGGCACAACGAGCCGACAGCGTGAGCTCTTGACGTGAAAAAGGGAAAAAAAAGCATCCGTGAAATTGTGTAGTAGTCGTAAGTAGAGACAATTGTCGAGAATCAAAGGTAACCATTCATTAATTAATTACGGGTGTAAACTCGTGACGGTACTTGAAACAAGTATAAACAAAGTAAATTTACTACCAAGCTATGAACGCGTCGTTGTATACCCTTCGAGTGTGAAATCGCGTTTCGATTGACGATCGATCGAACAAGGGGTGGAAAAATGTATCGGTGCGATAATAACGCGTCACCGCGCGAGATTCGATTCTGTTCGTTAAAAGTTTGCACCTCGAGTCTTTCGGTATATCTGTTATTCCGAGTATTTGAAATGAAACACTGCATATGACGCAAAAGAAAGTGGAAAGATAATGCGGTACAGACAGCGTAACGAAGAAAGGGAAGAAAAATAAGTGATAGGAATATCGGTATTGCGAGGGTGCACATCCGTTGTTTAATCAAAGAAACTATACGTGCGGGAAGACGTCTCTCATTGATCCGTGAAAAATCTCGCACACCGACGATTTCGTAATCATGACATAGTGAATAAAAAGTACGGGCAAGTAAAGCCGTACTATACGATAACTATCGAACGGCGGCCAGGGATTGCGTGGATGCGAAGGATAAAGCAGAAAGAGGAGGCGGAAGGGTGCGGTAGACATATTAGACGAAGTGACAAGGCTCACCTTGTCTGAGGGTATGTTGCGCGAACTCATCGTAGATGGTGGCGAGGGTGTCGCAAGGAATCCAGAGGCCGTCCGTAATTTGACCCAAAGCCGAGTTTTCGAATGGCACAGGTATTAACAAACGGTGACAGCAGTGAAAAGCCAGTGCGACGCACAACTCGATGAAAACACACTCACGCACAGCTCACTATTCCGGGACCATTTCGGCCCGAGCCTTCGCTGCCCGATCCACTCACTCCAACACCTGTCGTTACTTGTACATGTCGGGCGCAAAGTATTTGGGTAACATCTTGCAGATAATGCACGGAATACGCTCTGTAGTATGCACCGCACGCACCCACCGTCCCAGTCTCAGAGCCAAACACATAAAATGGCGATCCTGAGACGATGCAGCCTTCTGGGGAAGCTTCGGTCACGGAGTACGCGGTTAGACTAGTCTCTCAGTTCGATGCTCGGGACAGGTAGTAAGAGGGGAGAGTCGTCTCTACCGCTCCGCTCGGTTTGTTTTGGAACTATTCGGAAAGCCAATGCCCCAAGAATATTGTAAACGAAGCTTATCAAGTGTTATTATAAACTGAAAACAATTTTTATTATTGCTTTCTTATGATTATTCTTGTGTGTTTCTTTCGTACCATTACGTATATGTTCTTATAACTTTATTATTGCTTTACTTGTAATAAAATATATGACGTTAATATCGTTTAATTTTATTGCGGATACTACCTTACACCAGTACTTCATTAATATTAATACATAACCTCTGCTTATTTCGCGATTATTAACATTTTGACAGTTTGCGAATGATATACCTCTTTGTTTAAACATTGATTTACATGTAAATAATTGTAAATTATGTATGAAGCTACAAATCATACGTGCATCTGATGCACAATGAAACTGCCGTGATATAACTGTTTATGAAAGTATTTAAAAAAATGTCGGCAATTATAGATGACAAAGTGGTTGCAGGAGCAAAATCTGCAAACTCTGTCAAAGAGGATCCTATTGTAGCTTTAACGGTACATTTATTGTTATTAAACTTTATTGTTTAACACCATAACATTTATTTCCAATCGTTTATTTTAGGAGAAAGTAAATGCATTATATTTTTTTCGAGATCATTACTTTGTGAACCATTCTATTGAGGAAGCAATTAAAAAGAAAAGTGATGTAGAGAAAGAAATGAAAGATACCATAAACAAATTTGATGAATGTAAAGGATATGAAATTGATGGATCAAGAGCAAAATATTATTATCTGAAGGGAAAAGCTTTAAATGTTACAGAACGATTTATACCTCAGGCAGAGGAATTATTAACTAAAGCTGTAAAATTAGAACCTAATTTAGTAGAAGCATGGAACGAATTGGGAGAATGTTATTGGAAAAATGATGATATTCAACAAGCAAAAAATTGCTTTGTTGGTGCTTTACGTCATGTAAAATTACATTATAAGAATTATATACTATTATACTTAATAAATTTTAATAACTCATTGTATGATTGGAACAAAATTACAAATATTTTAGGGTAGAAATAAAGTATCATTAAGAAATTTGTCGATGGTACTCAGACAAGAATCGGTATCTACTGTTGAACAACAAATCCAAAATATACAGAAGGGTGTAGAATATGCTAAAGAGGCAGTTAGCCTTGATACAACAGATGGAATTTCCTGGGCAATTCTTGGAAATGCATATTTATATTCCTTTTTTACAGTAGCACAAAATCCTTCAACTTTACGTCTCTGTATGTCAGCTTATGTGCAAGCAGTAAGTCACTTGTGACATGATTAACTTACATTTTAATTATTCACTGGGATATTCATAACACTTGAATTATTTTTAGGAAAAAGACATTGTGGCAGGAAGTAATCCTGATTTATTTCATAACAGGGCAGTGGTAAGCATTTTATTATTACCAGTATAATACTGAGAAAGTTCAGCAACTTGTATTTATGTAAAGTAATTATAATATCAGGCTTTAAAATATCAAGAAGAATATTGCTTAGCATTGAAGTCATTTGAAAGAGCAATGTTATTAGATCCATTATGGGAAACACCACATAACAAAAGGGACGAATTGTTACAATATTTAAAAGATGTACAAAATTTAGTAAACAATAATGGAAAAGTAAAACCGAAAAGATTGTACCAAATGATACGGGTATACACATTTTTCTAAATAATCAATTATTTTGCAGTTAAAAATATATTTCGTCTCGTGAAATTGCGTAACTGTAATGTATGATGCTGGTATATATACAAATTTATAGGCTTCTGATTAAATGTAGGCATTGGATGTTAAACATTTGGGACCTTATAAAGGTGGCTCTTTCACGTCCGGTCAGAAAACCGTAAAATTAGATTTAGTGTCGTTGAAAACTTTAACCCTCGGATTAAATCCTGAGAAAGTTATATTTGGGAAAGTAGTGTGTTGGATACAAGACACGGATTGCGTACCTTTGTAAGTCTATTTTAGAAATCGATAGTGACAAAGAAGAAAGAGTACTTATTGTCTTAATAATTAAATTGAACTTCTCAGCGCATTTTGTCTCGTTGACGAAGAAAAAACATGTATCGGCGTGACCGTATACAACCTTGCCAAAGGTCGTGGGGTAACTGTTGGAGATTCTGTTGCTATACCTGAACCGTTTGTGATTCATCAAAAGTTTTCTTATCTCGACAATGTTCGTATTATTAGTGATGATATGCACGTTGCCTTAAGATTAACAATTATGTAAGTATAACTTTTTTTCAGGACTTTGACTTCAAATCTATACGCGTTGAAACTCCGGTTATATTGGTTGTTAATGGGAGGAAATTAGGTAGAGAACAGCAAGCATCTGCAAAATTACATACTTTTAAAAAAACTGATTGAGCTTGATACACAAATATTCGTTCGACAATTTGTAGCTAGCAACGAGACTTCCTTCGATCTAAAATAGGAATCAGTGTCACTGTCAATACCTAATGTGATATTTGAATTTCGAGTTTAAGTATTATAGTATATTAAATAGCATTAACTAATCTTACCATAGTCAATATTTCGTGAGATAGGTCGGTATACTTATATTGTTGCGAGTTTATCCGTAAAAATATTGTTCTAGTTAGAAACAATTCAATTAAAAAAGAAAAAAAAGACATTTTATACAATTTGTTTCGTTCACGTCTATACGTTCTAAGTATTGTTACAATTTATTTATGATATGTTAACTAGCAAAGAAATCTCGAGTGCTCGGACGAACCGTATTTAATAAATTTTTGTAGATAGGATATAAGGAATTTGTTATTGATACCTGTCGGAAATGTAGTTTAATAATAATAATTATAATTTTATACATAGCGTATCTGCAAATTTTTATAAAAATCAATAAATGCGAGTACTTTAGATTTCTTTCTGCACTTTAAAAATCAGTTAAAAAATGCGTAGTATAATAGAATCGCGTACAAAAATACTGATCTTTTATAATACATTATCGTACGTATTTTTCAATCTTCAAATGATTGTCCTTTGAAGAATCTGTTATATTAATCTCATCGTCAGATTTAACTCAACACTATTGTTATTTTAATTGTTTCAAGTTTTACTTTCATGATGAAAGTCGTTTTTTTAATAAAGTAACTTTTTTTCAAAAAGTTCCTTTCGTTGTTCCATCGTGCCAATAATCTCAAACTTTTTCTTCTAAGAAACATAAGTTAATCGCTTCTGTTCTTTTTCACGTATACTCAAATACTTACATCGAAACGTCCAGGATTTTCTAAGGATACTCTAGGAAACTTATCCTAGAGTATAAAATATATCGCGCGTACAATTCATTTTCACACGTATCGTTTCGAATTTCAATTACGCTTGAAAACAGAATCAAACTCAAAAATACGAAGAAGAAAAATCGCGACTCCTGTTTCCGTGTTGGTCTACGTAATTATCAGAAAACACGGAAGCAAGACGTCGCGCGTTTTTCAGTCAAACATTACTGCGAAAATTGCTTGTGATATACATACATATACATATTTAAAACGTTTGTATAAAAATGTTTTCTATCATCGATTATATAATAATAAATACTTATTTATAACAACATTGCAGTTAGATGGTTTTCTCTATTAAATTCTAGCGTTCGTTCGACGGAAGGACAACAGTGAACTTCCGTCGTGGACCGTGTTTGATCGACGGTCGAAAAACTGTAATCGTTTTACAGAAACGGATTCTCGTCGACGTCACTGGTCAACGCTTCTTCCATCTTCTTGTAGATACGTGTGTATTGTGGTTCTCCAACCACGCGAGGAATACGTAGAAGGTCTTTTCGTCCATTTCAGGATCGGTACACGAATTCACATGTTCACCTCCCATAACTTAAAGTAATTGTCGATTACTTCGAGGAACCAATCGCGTCGTTGAGGATCCTTGAAGATCGGAGCCAGCGTTCGCAGTTGCAACTGCAGCAACGCCTCGTCTTCGAGAAGTCCATCCAGTTGCTTCAGCAACAACGCGTCCCCGTGCAATTTCAGCAGGCTAGCGTACGAGAAAATGTAATATTGGTTTCGAAGGCGTTCCACCGCCCATGCCTCGACGGTACGGTTGCCGCTCGCGGCTTGTATGGAACCCATGTGCTCCGCGTACCACGGCGAGAAGAAGTTGCTTAATTCGCGGTTCGAGAGATCAGCCACGCCGCGCGTCTTCAAGCGTTCTTTCAAACGTAAGTACGCTTGAGGCGTGTACACGAACACCTGAAACAAGTAAATTCTTTAGTTTACCAACAGAAAATTGCTCCAGAAAATGTTAGCCTTTGTTTTAAAAAACCGGCACTGCGGGAGCGTCAGTGCCCTCTCTCCCTCACAGCCTCGCGCGCAGCTTCCTATCTGCGCATGCGCACATAGTCAAACACTGCTGGAACTGTGAAGCTTACAGTTCCATACAAAGATATTTGTATCTTTTTCATAAACTGGGGGATGGCTACTGACATTAAGCTGAAGGATTATATATTGTACATGTATAAAGAAAGAATTAAAGAAAAAAGGACTCATTATATTAAATGTTATCGATAATATTGAGTGAAAAAGAGGGTGTTGCAGTTCCACAGTGCCTACACGCGAGCAGCCACTGTTTACCAATCTGGACTTTATATCGTTAGTTTTTCTTAGCATCCTCTCTTATCTACCACGCGAGAGATGAAAATCGTTTGATATGACGCGCTTCGATATCATTATCCCGCTCGTCAATCGTTAAATTAACGTCCAAGTTTTATGCAACGGGTAATTTTACTTTGCTAATAGGTGTTAATGTTACACAAGCGGCACAGCTCTGCAGATGCTAAATTCGAAGAAGCGATAAATCTTATACGTTTGTAAATTGTGTAGTGCAAGATATTGTAAATTTTGTTTAGAAATATATGAATACAAAACAGAAAGATAAAGAGCAATTCAAAAACGAAGTGGTCAATGAACAAGGATTCGATTCTTGGCAGGCACATTTATAATTATTATAAAACCGGACTTCTCAATCATAATGTCGTGAATTTAAAACGAAAAGAATTGTGCAATCTTTATCTACTCCGACGCGATGATGCAAAGAGTTGCATACGCAAGAAGACAAATAGCTTTTAAGTACAACGTTCATCGTCAACTTCTCTCGGGTTAACGAAGGATAAACATTTCAGCTGAAAATTCACGATTGCCATTATAAGAAAAAGTGATCGCGGAATTGATCTCGATGCTCACCTGGTACAAAGAGTTGCCCGTCACATAGGCGGCGATGTAGTGCGAGCCAAAGTGTTTGATGAACCGCACCACGCTCGCTGTATCGCCTACGGTCACGTTCTCCGTTTCTCTGAGAACAGCCTCGTCAAGGATCATCGAGTCTGCCGTAGCAGCCAGCTTCTGGTTGTCGCGGAACCTGGCGACTCGTACCAGCACGTAACAATGGTCGCCGGTGATGAATGACGAGTTGATGCCCAAGTGACGAGCTATGGCCGCCTTGGACCAACTACCGGTGAACGCCCGCCATGGTCTCTCTAGCCTCTCGAACGTGAAGTCCCGGAAGTAAGCCTGCATCAACTGGCGGATGTTGTCGCAGAATTCCATGTGGAAATCACCGTCGAACACGGCGGCTGCCTGTTGCCGTTGCCTACTCGCTACCGGGACAGGATTCCTGAACACGTCCAAGGTCGGCTCGCGGAATATCCATGTGTCGGTGTCGTTTCTAGGCACAACTCTCATGCTGATGCTCAGGTAACCGTATCGGCTGAAGATGTTCACGGCACCGCCGAGACGCGGCCTCTGCGAACCGTTGCTGACCCGTGCACCAACAAGCAACGCGAGCATCGAAGCCAGCACCAAGAATCGCGTTCGTGACCACATCTCTCGCGGCTGCCTGCGGCTAAACCACCTGCAACACCAGACCAAACTGCTTCGAAACTGCTAACACACTTGGTTGGAAGGTGGAAGGACGGTGAGGTCATTCAACGTTTAGACAGGTAGTTGGCTGGTTCACCGCTACGCGCACAAGCTACACGCTCCTCTACTACTTATTAGCGGATTAGCGTCAATGGTACGCGTATTTCAGGAACCAAGTGTTAATTTGCAATTCTAACGACGATCGTACTTGAACGGAAATGACCTTCGCGCGACGTATCGCTTGTAGCGTTAAAATCACCGATCCTCTGGAAGTGCTTTTTCGTTTCGTTATCTGGTAAGTTAGAATAAATAACAGCGTTGACGAAACAATCGACTCTGGAGATCTGCAAGTGCGATGAAACTGACTTAAAGGTAAATTACAGCGAGTTATCTTGTTCCGTAGGTCTAGGTGCACGTTGTCGAGGTATTTACACGAGCGACCTTCGTGCCCCCACCTGGACACCGGGCGAACACCTTGGTCTACCATGGTTCTTCGTGGAACCCTTCTCTCGGGTTCCGTCTGTTTATTCTCTTTTTCGTGGCAGATCAAGAACGGACAGTCGTCAGAAATCGTACGAACCTCAGCACGTTTCACTCGATCGTTTACACGCAACTCTGTACATCTTGATAAGCGTCCACGCGACACGATTGATCATTATGCACGCTGACTGCGATTTATGTGCCGCTCGGTGTTAACGGTATTGCTTAAAGGAGTCTACGCTCGTTGACAATGAAATACCTAGTTGAAAACGACTCGCCCACTTCCGTGTTCTAAGAGTCGTGCGCGTAATCCTGGCGCTTTGCGCGATCCTTTACGCGAGTTTATTGACCCCCTTACTTGGTAGACTGGACACCGCCGTGACTCATGAATTTCTTTCAGTTAAAAATATAATTTGTCGCTTCTCTGAACACGGTTATATTGTAAAGATTCTAATACGCATGGGAAACGAAGAACTGTTTCAAGAGCAAGGCGATATCGTTAAACGATGTCACTGGTGCGTACATCATACTAAGAGGCGAAGGTTGCGTCCAGCCCTTGGACTTCTTCCAACCTGGCAATCGTTTCTACATGCGACTGTTTAGCTTCGATGCGCATCTCGAGAAGCAACAGTCGGTAATTACTTGATACAACGAGAAACGTTGCCAATTAGCCCGTTTCATTGTTAGTTGCTTTCGTTCGCTTTGTATCCGCGGCACTTTGCTGCTTTTCATCCCGAATTTTGTTATTTCACAAGGTAATTAACACATTTCGAATGAAAATTGAATAACTTTTTCAATTCTTTTAACGAGATATAATTATTCATCAGAAAAACGTATCCGCTGCGACAAAGGAACGGAAACGCATAAGAAGTTGGTACTTTAGCCACGTTTAAATCCACGTTTCCTGAACCGTGGCGTTTCTTGGAACGTAGCAGGAGACAGCGCGGGTGTTGCATTCGTGTTGCGACAGGATGCGGAAAATGAATTTGTTGGACACGTACGACACGGTTACGGTGACGAACGGCTTGGAATGCCGCTTGCAAAACCTGAATCTTTCACTACGATGCATCTGGCGATTTCAATGCAATATCACCGATGGAGATATCTTAAAAATTCGATTGATATGCTCGTCGAGATGAAATAATTGCGAACATATGTTTCGTACAAACTGGATTCATTTCTTTCGGGTTCATTTGATAAGTTGATTAATCGATTATAACGCTTTCGTGAAACAAACCTCACTATACACGGTCTTGTAAGAATCAAGGTACGAAGTGTGATCGAAGTGAAAGTGAAACTGAGGTCCTCCACGTAACACTTCGGATCCAGGTATCCGCGAACTTTCAGCCTTAATAAAAATCTAATTCAAATACATAAATTTGATAACTATAATTTGCTGATCATTTAGAATTTAAAAATACAAAATAAATTTAGATTGATGAGAGATAGTACCTATACGAAGAATGGTTAACCTTGACCCACATTTTCAATTACACTTTATCGATTTGAATTAATGAGATTTCGGCAGATTTTAATAAATTCATGTTTGCTGATAGAGCGAATTATTTTGAATATTTAATTTCGTCGCGGGAGAAGTGATTTGGCTTAACTTCTTGAGCAACGTTGATAATTAATTAATCAAACTGTTGGAATGGTATTGAGATAACAAAGTATAGAACGGACATCGTTGTTTCTCCGAAAATGTTTCCGCAGCGATAGCCAAATAGGATCCAGCTTCGAAACAATCATGGTCCAATCATGGTACTTTGATAAAACACCCACATCCGCGCGTCGTGTTGGATCTTACGTAATGGGAAGCTTTTTGTCGATTTATCTGGAAAGGAAGATCGTTCCACATACCCAGATTCACAGTAACCGCGTTGCAAAGGAAAGTGGCCATACGTATTCATGAGATTACAACAAAGGGTTTGCCGTATTGAATCTGTTACGATTTTAATGCTTAATACCACGATGAAGGGTAAGGAACGTGCATTCACACGCTGTTTCTTAACGCTTAAAATGTCAAGCTGAAATAACAGTGTTGCTCGTTGTAAGTGGGAGAATGAACAGAGATAAATGCCGAGGAATATACAATAATTAATGGCTGAAAGTTGTAAGGATACAAAGATTCATTTTGATATCGGGTGTCCCCACCCTGCAACTCGAATAACTGAAAGTTTCGTGACAACGGAACAATAGAATATTCTGCAAGGCGCATCCGTCGAGTCAAGGCGACGAGGTCTTCCAAATTGGTAAAACGGAAGTGGAACGGGTTTCACTTTCGCCGTTTTCCGTTAAGCGTTGGAAAGTGGTTTGTCACCATGATTAGAAGTTCACGGACGTGTTACCAGGTGAACATTGCGCACACATTGTTCGCACGTTAACCTAACCGAAGTTCTCCTTGAAATTTCAAGGATAGCGAAAGGAATATTATTTGCTGATTCGTCTGAAACGATTCCACGCTGTTTTACGGTCGTAATGTCGCTACCGAGCGCGAGAAACTAATCGAGTCCGATACTTGGCACGTGACAAATGCTTTTGTCCGAGCGTGAAGTAGAAAGTCCCGTGAAATTTAACATACCGATCGTAAACAATCTGCTCGTTCCTTTTGCGCTTAACACCGACGCGATGCTGCATCAGCCAGTGTATAAAATGTTGTGTAATACGTGTTATGCATCGAAGAACCGATCGAACAGGAGAGACGTAACACTGGGATAAACAATTCCGTCAACCGTAAGCGAACAAATTTGCAACTTCGTGTGCGAATTTTTTGAAATCGAAATTAAACACCAAGAATGAGGGTTTCAATTCAAAATCGAAGCAAAGGTCATAGTTGATCAAGTTCGCGTGTGTCAAAAATTCAATACGTAATCTTCTTGTACATCTGAATACAGCCAACTTCAAACAGAAGCAACGTGTCATCAAATTCTCCTAGGTACTACCCCTAACGCTATTCTCTCATGACAACCGCAATTCACGCATGTATCGTTCATTCATAGAGACACATAACCGCACCGCGATCGATTGAACCGCAATATCATCGATGATTGCTGCTTTTTCACCGTACCTTTTCGTTGAAACGATGTTTGGTCGTTTCAGCAGCGACGAGGAGGCTCGAGTGAATCTTCGGGAACGAAGGACCGCGCGTTTCCGTGCACGCGCGATAATAAAGCAACGAATAGCCGCGACATGAAAAATCACCATTGTGAGAACAATCGAGTACGCGAGGACGGTGCGATTCAGTTGTCGCTGGTACAAGAAACGAGCTTCTACGTGACGCAGAAGTCAATGGGGAAGAATTGTTTAAGTAGCTTTGTGTCGTCGACGCTCGAAAGGGGTCTTTGCGCGACGGATTAGACACAGGAAACGGTGACACAGTCGAATCACTGCCGACCAAAGTACCTTTTTAACAGTTGAAACGCGTTTAACCCTTTCGCTGCGGTGGTATTTCAATAGTGTCCCGTCTAAAAAATCCAATTTTCCATTGTGTCATCGTGAAAACCGATTACTTAAAGAATGATGGAGGAGACTGTTCAGTGACTCTACGAATATGTAAATTACTTATTGCATGCAATTATCGGCTTTCTCGCAATCGCTTTCCTCACTATCGGAAGATTTATAGTCATCGCGTACTCGACTCGCGTGATTTAGCAAAATCGAAGCGCGTAATCCACGATTCGTATGCAAGTCTCAAGACACTTAGGCACGAACTGTGTTCCCTGCTGATAGAACCGAGGGTCTACGGAAAGAGATAGAGAGAGGGCAAGAAGAGTATAATAAATGATTGTCACAATTATTGCGCTCGTGAATCACGTTGCACGTGCAGTTTAACGACGTGTCAGTTAGTCTATCGACTTAGTTCACGGCATATACTCCTAAAATGGAACGTTTGAGCAGAGAAAATGTAACAAAAAGTCAAGGATAAAGTGTTTGGACTGGATCCGATTTCATAAGTACAACCTGAACAGTCAAACCTCTTTCCAATGAAGCAATCAGTTTCACTCCGATACCATGAATTAGACTCTTAATTTTCCATAAATGAAATAAACTCAAGATTTATTGTGCCTAATATAAAAAAATGTGAATTTGTTATCCTTTAAAAGGTGATCGTTCAAGTTTCCAGCCAACCTTGATTATATTTTGAAACATCGAATGATCAATGAACAGTCTTATTTTAGAAAACAACCTTCGGATATAAAGTCATAATTTACATCATAAATTACCACTCGATATCAACATAGTATCACGTTTGAAAATTTGTTGCAGAAATCCGAGTCTATCCATCGGGGAGATATCACCTGTTCGCATTGCAAACGTTCATCACGAACTGCGAGACAAGCATTGCGATTGACGTTAAACGTATCTTAAAACGCGTTTAACACGTGCTCGAGCGTTAATTGAATGCCAACGAAGATAGTAATCGCACGATGATCGGAGATCTCGGCTGTCAAACGAACAAAGCATCGAGTCTATCGTTCCATGAACACATCGATCTCTTCCCGGTTGCACCGGGCTGCAGATTAAAATGACGTGTTCGTGTCATTCTTCGCATTGCGATCGCATTACGGATTTAGAAAGGGAGACACGCGAGATTCGCAAATAGAATATCCCCGGTCCCGTCCAACCTGGAGCGATCAATTTTCTGTCCCTCGCGAGTGCCGTTCCACGTGCTATCGCAACGCAAATACCACTTGTTATACGGATTACTAATGTCTGAAATTTATAACACCTTACGCGACCGTAATACCATAAAGGTTGATTCACACCGTAGGTATGTTCAATTTTTCAAAGGACAATCAAATCGCTGGAACAGTAAATTGAATCGAACGACACCGGTGTAATAAAGATTTGAACAGGAGTTAAATATAGATCGGTTACAGGCTCTGTGATTCGTGCAGGAATCGCGAGAGAAGAGCAGGGGTCAAGATGTCGGGATGGACTTACCCTACCGGATCACGCAAGTTTATTCCACTTCCGTTAATCAACATTCCCCTCCACTGATCGCGTTCAAATCTCCCTTCCATCGCGACACTAATTGTTATGGGTCACTGACTGACTCTGCTTGTTGCAAGACAGCAAAAGATAACGCGGCCTGCCAGCGTTGCCGTAGTAATCAACGTTACGTACACTTGTTACCACTGTACACTTGTTGCATTAATTTATCAAATGAATCCCCTGTATCTTCGTTAATTACCCAATTACACGTGCCACGGAATCTTTCGACGATTAATAAAGGAGCTCGTCAGTCGAAGATGAGGTTTAAAAAATTGACGGGACAGGGATCGACCGATGTGTCGCAGAGTGAAACTAAATGCTATCAGCTCGGTGATAAGCTGACGTGTTCAAGAAAGAGACAAAGAGGAAGCAATACGCTTTTAAAATGACGTCCTAAGCTTTAACTACACTTAATATTGTTATTTGAAAACTTTTGTTTTTAACGAGACTGATTTATTTCGATCCATTTTTTAGCATTTGGATGGCTAATAATTTTTGTTTTCATCAAGAATGATTTACACTTTATTTGGATCCATATTTTATTATTTGAAAGATTCATAACTTTTATTTTTCATTTCTGAAATTTATAGGTGCGACGTGTAATAATTCAAGTCAAATTTAATTAGATGGCACAGTATAGATGATAAATTAAATGCCAGTTCCGTCGAAGCTGGTAAACGGGAAACGGAGACAAAAGTCGAGAAGTTTATTCAGCTGATGTACGATGTACAATAACATAAACACATTTGTATTCTGATTGTTGGCTCTCTCTTTCTAAGATTTCTGACAGATGAATGGGCGAAGTGTCGTTGACGAAAGCTTCTGATAAATATTTACGGAATCTGCAGTACCACTATTGCGTCGCGAATCTGTAGAACCATACATAGAAAATATGTTGTATGGCCATTTTTGCTTTGGTAATCAATACGTTAACTTTTTATTGAACGTTTACAATGAGTGATTTCATGGTTCAACGCGAAACCATCGCGTCAATTGATACGGTGGATTTGGTGTTTTTCGTAAGCAACGAACCATTAATATCACAACAATTTGTTTTTACAACACGGTATGTTTGCACAAATTACACACATGTCAATATTGAACTTGGTACTGTTTATACAATTAATTGATAATGAGTTAATCAATTTTACACGATGCCTTCAGCCATGGAAGATGTAATCGTCACCTAATTCGAAAACAATGTGTGTTCATCGGGGATTATTGTTACAGAATACAACAAAAAAACACAATATATGTAAAAATATTAATGATCATGGAATGCGTTTAGAATCCGGTTTGTTGTTGAGATCGAAGCGGATATTAATTATGCATGGTAATCAAGTAGAATCGTTATTCATGGTAGTAAATTAAAGTGTAAATTATGAAAAGCGATAAATACGTGTTTCGAGGTTGAATAAAATAAATGATCCCTTCATATTAATCTATTATTTACACGTAATGAAAATAAATTAAAAATGTCTGGTTTTTACTTCTCTTAGTTTTAAATAAACGCGCTCTTCTAACTGTACTCAAGCAGCATGTAATTCAAGAGATGCAAGAATCTAAATTTTCTTGCAAGCAAAAGCAGATTTTTGCAACCTAACGGAGTTGCTTATTATTCCTCACCGTGTCATTATTACACGCCAAGCGAAAGAAGAGTGTTCGTGTTCCTTTTATGTTCCTGGGAATCACAAGCTGGCATTTACAAAGGCATTTTAAGTGTATATCTTCAGAAACGGGCTGCATAAGAGCGCCTCGTTCCCGCGAATACTTGCATACAGGTTTAACAAAGTCGCATGTACTTCAAGATTTCGAAGGCTGACAATGGAGAAGAAAATATTTTATTTCCTATTAAAACATATAAAAATCTCAATTCCTCCGTAATTTATTACTTACGAGCACTAATAATTTTCATATAAAACAGGTTACTATTTATAACCCGTTAAAGAATTAAATAAAAAATTCTGGTCAACCTTGAACAAAATCAACTGGTATCCTTTACCGTATAGCCGTAGCAATTTCGAGCGTTCGAGGATTTAGCAACGTCATTGTCTACCCTCGAACGATGATTATTATTCAGAAAAAGGAGAAAGGTTTCCGCAAGGTTGAATGAATAATTCCTACTGTCGTATACTCTTTGACATTCCTCTTGACATTTGAAGATACGCTGTTATCCTCTCGTAAGTTCGATAAATCGGAGGGAACAACGCGCGTTCTTCTTCACCGATCATCTTGCGCCATGGATCGTTTAAAAAAAGCGAAGATCTCGTGCTGCATGAGAAGCCAATCGCGAAGATCTCGCTGCAGGTCACGTTTTCATCAGGGAATCGTACAGTCTGTTGGTGATTTTGCAACGGAACCCATCGTTTCGCTGGAAAATACTGTTACACCTGGCCGTAAGTCTTTCGAACGAGTGTGTCTCAATCACTTCGTTTCAGTATTCTTAAAAATTGATGCCGTACGTGGGTAAATACTAAACGTTTTGAGAATTTCCCAAAAGAATGAATAATTATTGCAGTTTGCATGATTTTATAATCAGTCGATGAAAACAAAAGTGAAAAACATGTTATTCGTAGACCGAAGACAGTTAGAATGGAAAGTTTTTGATGACGTTATGCAAATCTACTCATAAATATGTAATATTTAGTATGATTTGTGAAATGAGCTTCCGAGAATTCGCTATCAGCGGAAGGAGCCGATAAAGAAAGGAATATCAACTTGTTTCAAACAATTCGCCGAAAGATATACACGAGCGTTGCATCGTCCACTTACAGAGGGGCGGATAATTGGCAAGTACGGAGGGAATAACGATTACAATGCTTTCTTGGACTCTGCGAACGACGTGAATGGCTTTGAGACATTAACCTCGAGTCATTTGAACGTTGAGCAACAATTTTGCGGTTTATACTTCATTTGCTGGGATGTAAGAGCTGACGCAGCAGCGCACGAATTATTGAATCACGGACATCGAGGAAAATTGTATATCAACATTGAAACAATTTCTTTGTTTTTGTTGAAATTATTTCAAAAAACACCCAGCTGCGTCTACATTGTTTTTTGTTAATAGGTATGTGTATTTTCTGTCTTTCCTTGTTCATATAAACGAAGAAAAGTGGGTCAAATTGGTTAATACTTGCGTACAGTACACTCAGGTGTTGATTAAATGGTACAAACATAACTTGTTTAATTATTTCTCCACTTTAAATGCAAATGTTTATTGAACGAAAGAACGACCACTTTTGTTTATCTATTAGTTCTGATAATTAAAGCTTTACCACACTATGTTATAAAGTGATCATTTGCGAGTGTTAGGTAAGGTGATAATTAGCAACGATGATTTAATCATATATCACGTCGGACATTTATAGCCGACAATAACAATGTTACACAGGTACCTAATCAATCGTGGCTAGGAACGTGCGTAAGGTCACACGCGTCTATTTCTTTCGATCGACGTTCGAAAGTACAAGTTCCTGGTATTATTTTCTTGCTAAACTATACAGTGCCCGGTACTATTCCCGTGCTTGTTCCTGGTTGAAAATCTGGGTAAGTAGTATAAGGACGGTCAGACAGGTTCGCACGTGTCAGCCGTCTCTTTCTACTGTTTCCCGCGTGTGTATACACGGAAAGCGCGTTGCCGAGTATCCGCGTCGGTATCGCGTGCACCAGCGAGCGTGAAAGTGCGTCCTGCGATGTTGATGATAAATGTTGAGAGAACGTTGCGGTGCTTTTATCTATCGGAAACTAAGTCGCTGGTTATTTACGTCCGAGCTGGTGTAGGTCCTGCACCTGCAATCGTTTCATGCCACCAAACCAGTCGATAGATAGATCTAGCCAATAATTCGATCCTAATGAATTTTAGAGTGCTTAGAGCTTAGAATGACTCGTTTCTATGATTCACGATAAATTACCAGCTACTTTAGCGAGTCTCGGAAGGGAATTGGTCGATGAAACTTGATAGCCGCGTGAATTACTTTGTTTGAGATTATGTACGACGAAGTTTGTGTGGGCTGATTGTCTTGAAACGTAATTATTGTTTATTATAAACTAAATTAATAAATAAATAATTTATAGCTACAGAATCGTATCACGGTAATAATTTAAATTATTTAAATTAATAAACAATTTATTTTGGTATAATATAGTAACATTGTAAGATTTTAATCAAAGATAATTTATCAATCACTTACCTAATAAGAGAAATAATATGTAGAAATGAATAGCAGGTTCTGGCGAAGTAAACACTACAGGTCGGTGTTGTTCCTATTGAACT